CTGCTAGCACTGTCCATCGAGTTTGTATCACGACATGGTAATCCTCATACGTGACTACAATATTTTGCCTTTAAGCGAGTCTTAGTATGTTTCGTAGAATATTTGGCAAAATGCAGTGTTTGTTGTCTAAGATATACATGCATACAACACGTAGTGATGATCCTGTTTTCATTTTTGCTGCAGTTTCTTGTTTTCAGCTGTACTACTCTATGAAATCCACAAGCTTTCAGGGATGACGCTTTCCAAGAGTGAATCGAAAACTAAAAGGCACTGAATGAGATTCTGCGTAGTTTAGAAATTTATATATGAATGATGTGATCAAGTGTCGACTGCGGCTTTTTACTTGTTGTTTCTATTTAAAATACTACACCCGAAAGATACCATTTTGAGATGTATTAGATGTTTCTTAACAATTCAGTAACTTGGAAGATGACATTACTTGTAGTACTTGGAGAATTTCAATGTTTTCAATATAATTTTCTCTAGGCACCAAGATGCTTTGGGAAAAAGCTTATATTATTTGCGAACAAGTCTAATTTAAGTTGCACAAAAAAATCCAAGAAGCCCGGTGATCAGGCTGAAAACAGAATGTCCTCTATTGCTTGTGGCTCCAAACAGACTGGAGTGAGAAAACACTTATAATTGATGCTTCGCCGATTCTGTGAGTGAGCATGGTGGTTGTGATGTTGGTTTGAGTGAGAGGAAACTTTGAAGTTGAAGCAAGTTCAAACGGTGGGCAAAACTCGTCTCGCTTGCCAATATCAAAATCACCAAAAGTCCTTCCTCCTTGCCGGATAATTCTTACAAAGAGCAAATACCACCACAAGAAATTTCCCTGGACAAGCAACGTGAGAGTTTAGGCGCAGAGCTAGCCGGGTGTGAGGGTGGCACCCTCTCGGTTGGGGGCTTCTCCAGTTCTCCTCCACGCTCAAGAAATACGAAGGTGTCGGTAAGATTTTCTACTTGCTGAGTGAAAAAGTTGAGAAAAAAAGTGCTCAACTCGACAATTATATCAGAAGGCCAGCAATT